ATATGGCAGAAGAATATGCTATTGATCCAGCATAAAGGACAAAGTGGGTTTTAGGAAAATCACTCTGTGTGAAAACTTATTGAAATGACATGCAAACCTTCAGAAGTGTTGGGTAAACAAAATTTACCTTTGACAACCTCTTGCCAAGAATTAAGAAGGTGAAACAAGAAGAGGGAGGAAGTGAAGGAAAATACTGTCTTCTGAAGAAAAGATGAAGCTGCAGACATTGGTGCAGTAGCCCTGGGAGAGGAGGGGCCTGGCTGAACTAGCATTTGTTCCCAAGTGTCACCTTCCTCATCCATCCTAACATCTTCTAACTACAGCAGCCTTAGGCTACTCATACCTTCTGCTCCTTTTTGCAACTTCGAAGTATCTTTCAAAGAGTAGAATTTCATAAGACAAGTTTATAATTATACATAGCACTTTTTTTAAAATTAAGGTATCGATATACAATTTTATGAAGGTTTCACTGAGCAACATTGTGATTTCAACATTCACCCATATTATCAAGTCTCCCTCAAACCCCACTGCAGTCATTGTCCATCAGTGTAATTACACATAGCATTTTATACTGTAACTATCTTCTAGATCATCAGTAGGCTTAATATTATTAATATATATTGAAAAGTAGCAGTACCTCCCTGTAATCCAGGGAGGTTTTACTAATTAAATGACTGAGAATTAAATGACTAGAGGTGAGTAGTTATCAGGTAAAACCTCTGCAGATTTTTCTCAGCCTCATCCACAAATAGTGGTATGCGCCAGAGTCCTATGTTGAGACCTCTTCTTTCCCACTCACTGGTCTTCGTTGATGTTCTCATCAACTCCTTGACTTAACTCTCAGTTACCTGTGTGCGTGGCAGTTGAGACTCCATCTTGAGACTACCTTTCTTCCAATATTCAAGCTCATATGTCCAACTATTCTTTCAGCATTTTCACTAGTATATCCTGAGGGTCCCTCAAACTCAGCATATTTATAACCAAACTTTTTATTTCTGCTTCCCCTCTCTCCAGAGAAAGCACCCCACTCCTCCTTTGGTCCTGATCTTGGTTAAAAGCATTATATACCTAGTCAACTAAATTAGAAATCTGGAGTCATCTTAAACTTCTACTTCTCCTCATTCCCGAAATCTTGTTGATTCTGCCTGCCTTCTAAAATCCCTCTGAAGATGAAATTTAATAACCCTGTGGACAAAGAAAGATTCCACAAGTTTCCAGAAGGCAAAATAAAACAGGCCATATACAAAAAGGATCAGGGGTGGAACTCTGGTCATGTCAACAGAAACAATAGAAGCTGGAAGATAATGGAGCCCTGCCTTCAAATTTCTGAGGTTGAACATTTATTTGTCAACCAAGGGTGAAGCTAAGATAATAACCATTTTCAGGAAAAAATCAGACATACATGCCTTCACAGCATTTCCCTTTCACATAATCTTTGTCAGGAAGCTACTGGGTAATATGGTGTACCAAAAGGACAGAGTAAATAGAAAGCATAAAACATGGGATCCAGGAAGAGGGCATCAACACAGGTAAGAGGCAAAGAGGTCCCCATAATGATGATGTGTTGAATATGTAGTTATAATAATGTGATGTAATACAAATTATGATTATGTCCATATTGGAAGGATGGGGGATGGGAAGAGTGTGTGAGAAGTTGGGTTAGATGAGAGCACTAAGTCCTTCTCTTCCATATAAGAAAGTCAAAAATCATATTCCACATTCTTAAAGATAAAAAATAACTGTCTACACATAGCATTTAGAAATTTTGAGGTAAGTATCAGACAAGATATCTGAGTGAGTTGAATGTAGTTGCTTCTGGGGATGGGTCTCAGGGGACTGCTGTTTCATTATAAGCCTTGTAATATGATTTGAATTTTAAGTTTATGTATATAAGAAACTGATAAAAATAAAGAAATAAAAAACTAGATACTCTATTTAAGGATTACAGCAACTTTGTGTTAAAACCCCATAAGCAAAGACTCTCAGAGATGGAAAGAGCTCTAGAAACTTACTCTCATTTCTTATTTCCATAGCATAATATTTTTAATGAAAAGATGTTGATTTCTTTACTCAAATCATTTCTCCTTTCATGCAAAGTTGTATCATTCCGTATCAATAGCTGCAATAGATGTTCCACACAAAGCACCACACAGTGTAACACTAATGAGAAGTGGTTATGTTTGCTGGCATATATCCCTCTCCTCTTCTTCCCTGTGTCCCACCGAAGGGAGTTAAATGTTTAAGATTTGAGACTCCATTCCATATAACACACTTGGGTTATGAGCTAACAGATGGGTAAAACATGCCAGGTCCTGCCCTAATGATCCTAAGCCTGCATGAAACATTTTCCTACTGTGAGGAATATGGTTTAATTAACCACCTGCTGAACTTCAGTTGGGGAAAGAGGTAAGTTAATGTGAAGTTTTCTCTCATGAAAAATAAAATACAGTTTTTACAGGTCAGAAAGCCAGCAATGAAAGTAGTTCTTGATGGTCACTTTTGCTTCATTATATTATTCGGATATATATACAGACATTAAAGGTTACTCGCCTACTCCCTCATTTTACAGAAGAGAAAACTGTTACCTAAAATGGTCAGTGCCTGGACCAAGACTACCCAGTGTATTTTCAGACCCTGCAATGTAATTCATGTAACTCAGTAGAAGGTTAAACAACTTCTTATCTTTTTTTCACATAATCTTTGTCAGGAAGCTACTGGGTAATATGGTGTACCAAAAGGACAGAGTAAATAGAAAGCATAAAACATGGGATCCAGGAAGAGGGCATCAACACAGGTAAGAGGCAAAGAGGTCCCCATAATGATGATGTGTTGAATATGTAGTTATAATAATGTGATGTAATACAAATTATGATTATGTCCATATTGGAAGGATGGGGGATGGGAAGAGTGTGTGAGAAGTTGGGTTAGATGAGAGCACTAAGTCCTTCTCTTCCATATAAGAAAGTCAAAAATCATATTCCACATTCTTAAAGATAAAAAATAACTGTCTACACATAGCATTTAGAAATTTTGAGGTAAGTATCAGACAAGATATCTGAGTGAGTTGAATGTAGTTGCTTCTGGGGATGGGTCTCAGGGGACTGCTGTTTCATTATAAGCCTTGTAATATGATTTGAATTTTAAGTTTATGTATATAAGAAACTGATAAAAATAAAGAAATAAAAAACTAGATACTCTATTTAAGGATTACAGCAACTTTGTGTTAAAACCCCATAAGCAAAGACTCTCAGAGATGGAAAGAGCTCTAGAAACTTACTCTCATTTCTTATTTCCATAGCATAATATTTTTAATGAAAAGATGTTGATTTCTTTACTCAAATCATTTCTCCTTTCATGCAAAGTTGTATCATTCCGTATCAATAGCTGCAATAGATGTTCCACACAAAGCACCACACAGTGTAACACTAATGAGAAGTGGTTATGTTTGCTGGCATATATCCCTCTCCTCTTCTTCCCTGTGTCCCACCGAAGGGAGTTAAATGTTTAAGATTTGAGACTCCATTCCATATAACACACTTGGGTTATGAGCTAACAGATGGGTAAAACATGCCAGGTCCTGCCCTAATGATCCTAAGCCTGCATGAAACATTTTCCTACTGTGAGGAATATGGTTTAATTAACCACCTGCTGAACTTCAGTTGGGGAAAGAGGTAAGTTAATGTGAAGTTTTCTCTCATGAAAAATAAAATACAGTTTTTACAGGTCAGAAAGCCAGCAATGAAAGTAGTTCTTGATGGTCACTTTTGCTTCATTATATTATTCGGATATATATACAGACATTAAAGGTTACTCGCCTACTCCCTCATTTTACAGAAGAGAAAACTGTTACCTAAAATGGTCAGTGCCTGGACCAAGACTACCCAGTGTATTTTCAGACCCTGCAATGTAATTCATGTAACTCAGTAGAAGGTTAAACAACTTCTTATCTTTAGTAGAAAAAACTGAGAAAAGAATGACTTAGTTAGATAACTCTAGCCAAAAATCAAATGCCTTAGATTATCTGGGTATTTGGAAGACAGTGTTTTTGTTTCTTAACCCTTTTGTTTTTTTATTTCATTATACAGGTAAAAGATTCATTACAGAAAATAATTTAAACTCTAGAAAATAAAATCTTCATTGTACATGGCAAAAGTAACCATTGTTAATAGTTTGGTGTATTTCTTTTGCTGAAATAATTTGCAGAATCCCAAATCTTAGGAACTGAGCCTCCAAAAACTGTTTAGGAATACTTGGTCCATGAAGGTTGCAGGAACATTCTATATGGCAGAAGAATATGCTATTGATCCAGCATAAAGGACAAAGTGGGTTTTAGGAAAATCACATATTACCTAATTACCTATTAATTACATATTGCCTATTACCACATCAATCAAATAAATGATACTATTCTTTCTTAATAGGGATGTTTCTTCAGTTAATAAAAGAAGGGAGGGAGATAGCAATGAAGAATCTTCTAAATGTGTACATGTTTTTTCTTATTCAAATCATAAAAGTTCATTAAACAGTAATGAAGTAAAAAATGTATTATGACCAAACCAACAATTTTTTAAAGCATTAATAATTAAAAAAAAGATGGTGGCTTTGACATAACTATAAATTTAAAGACAGTTGAGTTTAGGAGAACTTACAACTGGAAAACATGCTCAGGTTGGACTTTGAGAATTTAAGACAGATGGCTCAACAATTCATTTGTAAGGAATTGGAAACATCTCAATTTTAAATTTGTAATGAAAAGTTTGTCTATTTTAATTATGTTCCCTGTTAAATGATGTTGCAATAAATAAATAATTTGAAAGTTCTTTAAAAAACTGCTAAGGGAATGAGAGAGAGAGACAGGGAGGGAAGGAGGGAGGGAAAGAAGGCAGGCAGGCAGGCTGGACACACAGGAAGGAAGGGATGAAGGACAGAAGGAAGAAAAAATAAGCCAGGGTCAAGGAATTTGCCTCAATGTTTTTTTTTTTGTATATTTTCTTTTCTCTTTCTGTAAGAGAAATATACTACTATTAAACTTCTAGTGTAAGACTGGCAGCTCTGAGAACTCCTTTAAAGATGTAACATGTTACAGATATATTCTTTTTTTTGTGTGTGTGTATATTCAATTTTTTCTAAAAGACAGTTTTTAATACAGTAATTACTATGATTAAAATGTATAAAAAATAATGAGGGAGTTATTTATTCAAAATTCAGAAGGGGGGAGATGATTGGGAAGGGACATTAGGCAAGACTTCCTAAGTACTACTAATAAACCTAGTAAGTGAATAAGGAGGTATTGGTACCACTGTTAACATTTTTAGTTATATGTGTGCTTTTCATGCAGTCTTTCATATGTCTGACATATTTTACAATAAAAAGTGAAAAGAAAGCTTATTGTTAGGACATAAAGGAATCTCACAGAACCCAGTTACAGGAAGCACAGTTGGACACTTTGGGAATTGGAAAGTGGCCAGATAGCCTCTGTCTCTTTTCCTCCTGAACCCCCCCATCCCATGTTTCTTCTCTTGCTCAAGTGTATTATTTTTCTGTCTCTGTCAGTTGTCTTTTCTGCTTAATTATCTGCATTTACCTGGCTTGTGACATCTCCACAATGGCAGGACTGATCAGTCCTTGACCTGACTGAGGCTCTTCCAGCTGTCTTGGTCTATGGTACCAGATTTTTGGCAAGAGAACTGGACTGACTTTTGGGCAGACCTTCACCCTGGACTGATGAGCTATAGCTAACATAGCGCACCTTGCTCACAGGGACTGCCCCTTTAAGCCTGTGGGCAGTGGAAGTTCTTAAAAGGTGGTAGACATCTGTAATAATAACATTATCTATAACAGTAAAAGGTTTGAAACAATCTCTAACAGTAGAGATGGGTATTGGTTAAAGAAATTGTGGTTTCTTTTTTTTTTCATTGAAAACCTGTTTCCTCTTTTTTTTTGTGTGTGTGTGTGTCCTTTCTTTTTCATTATTTTTTATTTTTCTATTTTGTTGTCATTAATCTATAATTACATGAAGAACATTATGTTTTACAGATATATTCTTGTTCCTAAAGGAATGAGGAGAAGACATTTCTACATGAAACACTCATTTAAGAAATCATATTGACTTTTACCATTGCCTGGATGAATGTAACGATTTATAAAAATAAATAACCAGTAGCTATCCTGGAAGAGTCCTGTGAAGTCAATCTCCTTGGACATCAGAAGGTTTTCCACTACATATAAGGTCTATTTTTACTATGAGAACTTGTGAATATTTTTATTATGAGAGCTTTGTAGATTTTTCAAGCTTAAGTTCTCATTTTTTTTTCATGTCATTGACTTTTCCCAATTACTCCACATACTGGGATATTAGACTTATTGTTAAACAGATCATTAAAAATGACAGATCAGACCCTTACACCTGACTAAGTTAGCCCTGACTATAAATTAGGTGCTTTGGGATATGCACACTCTCTTTTGGATCACTAGTGTCATATTACTGCACTGAAGCACAGGTAGTTTACTAACTCTGGTCAAAATCTGAGCTGGTGGTTAAAAATTGAAGGAGTTTGGCATCACTGTTAGTGTTCTTAATACCTGCCTTCAGAATGCCACTTTTCCAAATGGGGCTAACAAGCTTAAATAAACATTTGTACTCAGGCTTTATTTCCACTAATGTACTTTGGAGAAAATGTTTCACTTATATCTAAAGAAACACAAGGGTAAAAACTTTATATGCTGGGTAGTCTATTTGCCTCTATTAAAAAATAAACCACATTGTTTTTCTACTCAATGTTCAAATATAAAAGAACTTTCTGAAACATTTCTTGAGCACTGTCAGCTTTAATACCCTCAATTTTTAGAAATCAATGAATATATTTGAATAGTATTATGTACAAAGGACTGTGCTGCTGAATTCATCCAAATCTTGTACTTTCTGTAATTTATTAGTTCTTGCCTTAATTAATTTAATGTTATAAGAACATAGCCAAGGATATACCTCCTTTAGAAACAGAACTTTGATCTTCTCAAGGTCATTAATAATGTTATCTGAAATGATAACTTTGGGTAAATAAAATGTGTTCATAAAATATTACACACCTTGCAGGAACCAAACAGGACATACTCAGACAGTTAAAATCTGTTTTTACCTCAACACTGATTCTCTTTGAAAGTAGCTTTGCAGTCTACACTTCAAACATAGAAGCTGGTATCTCTTATTATTAGATTATAAACACAGCTTATATTATCAAAGAGTTCATCTACTCTGATGAAGTAAGCAATTCAGATGCTGAGTCTCAAGCCTCTGAATTGTGTGTTAAAGAAATACTGAATTTCTTTATATTTCTCTAACAATATCGAGTTAGTGTTATATCTCAAACTTATGAAGTCAAAATGTAGAATATCTCAGAGTTGGGATTTTTGGAAGGTAAAGGAAGAAGAAACTGAACTGGCCAGGGTTAAGAGAAGTATAGCATGGTACATAATGGATTGTCTGTCTTTAATTTTATACCACCCTACTTACAACATTTCTAGAAAAGGAATCCTTGACAGATATGAAAAAAAAAGCATGATTTTAAAACAATTTTTCTTTTTCTTACTAATTAAAGGTATTTTGGAAATAGTCCCTTGCATTATTCAAAAGGATTAGTAGCAATATTTTATGTTGGGTAAAAAAAGAAAACTGTGTCTCTTCTAAAGTGTCTAATGTACAGGGTAGATAAATTACTAATTTATCTTCATATAAATGTTAAAACTTCTTAATCATGTTCAAAATCTTTTGTAATTATAGAACAGACAATAGTACCAACTATGACAAGATTTTGAATTTTGGTGTATACTATACCAACTACATAGTATACCACCTTATCTAGAAGATTTACTTATTTTTTTAACTTACTGCCTCTAAACAATCTTCTTTCACTCTAAATAAGAAGTAGAAAAGTGACTACAGAATTTTGTATCACATGAAATATCATATGAATTTGTTTTTATTACAAGTAAATTATTATAATTTATAAATAAAATTAAATTTATAAATAAGGTTTTTATTATAAATTGAGGTTATTATGAATTAGCTTTTATCTTTGGGCTTTCCATCTCAAATTCAAGTATATTCTGATTAAGTAAACTCTATCCAAACTATTTAAATCGATAACCAATAATAGCAGGCTTTATTGCAGAGAACTTTCATTATACTGAGACCAATTTAAAAAAATCTAAACTTACAAATGGCATAAAACAGGTCCTTGAATCAGTCACTTTAACATTCTCCAATTTACCTCCAATATAAAGTAGTGGAAGAGATTTGAAACTGGGAAAGTCTATGCACTGATGATACCTTAACTATGGCTGGTTGAAAGGTTCCCCAGTGTCTGGACAACATCAAGGAATATGTTATATTTAGGAATTTTTTATTTGCAGAAATGCTGCCTAGGGGTCAAGTCACAAACTTTACTCAGTGTTCCCTGGGATGACATTGGACTTGAGATACCTACTTTTTTGTGCTATGCACCTGCAGGCAATAAAAATTTGTTCTTTGACTAAGAATAAAAAATATTATCAGAACTATTTTTCAAAAAACAAAAAAAATGTAGGAGAAGCAGCTTCTTTCAGAGAAATGGAGTTAGGATATTCTATCCCAAGTCCTGACTGCAATGTATTTTTGAATGAGACTTTCAAATTCTCACCCCAGATTCTTGCTTACTCTGTGCTTATCCATCTCTTTCAAGGAATGCTTTCTTTATATCAGGCAGGTATAAGTATTAGGGCTTGAAATAAGCAATATATTTTCTTATAACCAAAACTGTCCCCCTGCTATTACTTTCTTTAAAGAAGCAATATGCCGTGATGGAAAAATGTGCTTCATTTTCCAAAAATGTGTTTACAAGTAATTTTCAGGAACATAGCTCTTTTGCTAAGGCAGGAACATCTCTATTTACAACACAGATCTGAAACACCTACCTGTTTTCTTATATAACAGAGCATGTTTCTTTTGGCTGAAACAATGTTTTATCTTCATATTTGGGCAGGAATTTATAAATAGGTCACCCCTGGCATTTTAGCCAGGAGAACATTTAGCCATTAGTTTTGTTTTAGGGAAAACAATGAAGTGTAACAGCATAAAATATCATGCTACTCTCTCTACTTTGGCACATGCACACAAAATTACCATCTGAAGTCTTCTTTAATTCAGTTTTCAATTTCTCCTGGTCTTCTATTAGTTTTTTATTTTCTGCTTCCAAAATGTGTTCCTCTTCCTTGCCATAGCTTTTCAGGAGCTATCAAAAAAGAAGAGTTATAGAAAGAAGTAAGATTGCAATAAGCCAGACATCCTTCCAGGAAAGTGGCTGAATAATGTATTTAAACTTATTGGTCTTTATTTTATTCTTTGTCCTTTTTAGTATTTTATACTTTTCCACACTGTCCTTTTGCTAACAGAAGCTTGCTACTTTGCAAACACACAAGAGATTTCTTCTTACTATGACTGAAATCTCTGAGATGAAAATAAGAGTTTTGTTGGGTTACAATTAAAATAATATTTTCAAAAGTATTTAGGTATATAACATGAATGTCTTTTCCTCAGTTAAGTGTGTGATGTAAATCTAAGGAAAACAAAACAATTTTGAGGATATTAATTGGAAAGCCGTTATGTTCCCACTGCAGAGATATCTACTCAGACTATTTCTATATAGACTATTTAAATATAGATGAATTCATAAGAGAAGAATATAATGTTGTCAGGATGGAGATAGGTGAGTGGAAAATGACAGGGCCATCTTTATGCTTGGAAAATTCTACCTAATTTTCTCTGAATAGTCTCCAAACTACTTTTATTAATCCTTTATACAGATCTTTATATTTTAAAATCTACTTTGGCTTTGAAAATGGTCATTTTCTTGAATCAGTCACTTTAACATTCTCCAATTTACCTCCAATATAAAGTAGTGGAAGAGATATGAAACTGGGAAAGTCTATGCACTGATGATACCTTAACTATGGCTGGTTGAAAGGTTCCCCAGTGTCTGGACAACATCAAGGAATATGTTATATTTAGGAATTTTTTATTTGCAGAAATGCTGCCTAGGGGTCAAGTCACAAACTTTACTCAGTGTTCCCTGGGATGACATTGGACTTGAGATACCTACTTTTTTGTGCTATGCACCTGCAGGCAATAAAAATTTGTTCTTTGACTAAGAATAAAAAATATTATCAGAACTATTTTTCAAAAAACAAAAAAAATGTAGGAGAAGCAGCTTCTTTCAGAGAAATGGAGTTAGGATATTCTATCCCAAGTCCTGACTGCAATGTATTTTTGAATGAGACTTTCAAATTCTCACCCCAGATTCTTGCTTACTCTGTGCTTATCCATCTCTTTCAAGGAATGCTTTCTTTATATCAGGCAGGTATAAGTATTAGGGCTTGAAATAAGCAATATATTTTCTTATAACCAAAACTGTCCCCCTGCTATTACTTTCTTTAAAGAAGCAATATGCCGTGATGGAAAAATGTGCTTCATTTTCCAAAAATGTGTTTACAAGTAATTTTCAGGAACATAGCTCTTTTGCTAAGGCAGGAACATCTCTATTTACAACACAGATCTGAAACACCTACCTGTTTTCTTATATAACAGAGCATGTTTCTTTTGGCTGAAACAATGTTTTATCTTCATATTTGGGCAGGAATTTATAAATAGGTCACCCCTGGCATTTTAGCCAGGAGAACATTTAGCCATTAGTTTTGTTTTAGGGAAAACAATGAAGTGTAACAGCATAAAATATCATGCTACTCTCTCTACTTTGGCACATGCACACAAAATTACCATCTGAAGTCTTCTTTAATTCAGTTTTCAATTTCTCCTGGTCTTCTATTAGTTTTTTATTTTCTGCTTCCAAAATGTGTTCCTCTTCCTTGCCATAGCTTTTCAGGAGCTATCAAAAAAGAAGAGTTATAGAAAGAAGTAAGATTGCAATAAGCCAGACATCCTTCCAGGAAAGTGGCTGAATAATGTATTTAAACTTATTGGTCTTTATTTTATTCTTTGTCCTTTTTAGTATTTTATACTTTTCCACACTGTCCTTTTGCTAACAGAAGCTTGCTACTTTGCAAACACACAAGAGATTTCTTCTTACTATGACTGAAATCTCTGAGATGAAAATAAGAGTTTTGTTGGGTTACAATTAAAATAATATTTTCAAAAGTATTTAGGTATATAACATGAATGTCTTTTCCTCAGTTAAGTGTGTGATGTAAATCTAAGGAAAACAAAACAATTTTGAGGATATTAATTGGAAAGCCGTTATGTTCCCACTGCAGAGATATCTACTCAGACTATTTCTATATAGACTATTTAAATATAGATGAATTCATAAGAGAAGAATATAATGTTGTCAGGATGGAGATAGGTGAGTGGAAAATGACAGGGCCATCTTTATGCTTGGAAAATTCTACCTAATTTTCTCTGAATAGTCTCCAAACTACTTTTATTAATCCTTTATACAGATCTTTATATTTTAAAATCTACTTTGGCTTTGAAAATGGTCATTTTATATTTGCAGCGTATCTTGTCTAGGCAAGAAAAATTAAGATTTGAATAGTAAAATATTTGACTAAAATAAAAACAACATGGAGTAAAAATTTCATAGTCTGTATGTCTTGATGGAAACCATCATTGTTAACAGAATTAAGAAGCTGACTCATCCTAATGAAGTTATAAGGAATTTAAGTTACCAAGATGGGCAAATTAATGTTTGGAAAATAAAATACGTATATACCTGGGCACGGGTTTTCTGACTAAAAGGGTAAGAACTTGATAGTGGCAGCTTCCTGAGTCAGGTAAGAAAGCAACTCTGGACAATTTTAAACAGACTGACAGAGAAAAGACTTTCTACTGCAAGGTGGTTCCTCTTCTAATGTAAGCTGGTATATTCAACAAACGAAACTCACAAAGTTCTACAGAGCCTTGGCCATATGCAAATATGCTACAATGCTAGGTGTTATAAGGGATACAAATGTAAGAGAACATGGGCTCTGCTCTCAGGTAACTTCAGTCTAGTGGAAGGGATGAGACAAGAGCATAAAACTGTAGCACAAGATATAGTACTAGACAGTGCTCTTGGGTTATAACAAGACTAGACAGCTCAAGGAGGAATTAAAACACTAATGAATATATTATATAAACCCAGTGAGTTTTCTTTTCTTTTTTTAAGAGTAGAGGACTGAAGTACATAACTTAAATGGATGGAGCCTGATATCTTCAAAAAAGGTTTTAAGAGCAGAAAGAAAAAAATTCTTCAAATCCCTATAAACTTGTTGTGCATTTCAATTTCAAAACAATCCTAGTTGCTACTTCACTGAATTCAGTTTGCACAGTCTCTCCAGTGATTACCCAAATTGGAAGAGAAGCACTGAGTTGCAGGAATGTTTACACTGACTGCTTGAATTATTATGCCAATGACTTGGAAAAGTTGGATTTGTGTTGGCCTTGTAAGCTAGCTTTCATTACTGCACCTGTAAACTTGTCCAAATTTATTATGTGTAACTCCATGCTGGAGAAAGACCAAGATCCCTGGAATCTGAAATTCACTAGCTACCAGCTACAATAATGCGCATATTCACCATCCAACCACCCTATCTTACCTTGGTAAGTGGCTAGAAAAAAAACTAGTAAGAAGTAAAGCTCCATCACTGTTGTTATTTTAAAGCAGTTAAATTCAAAGTTAATTGGTCTTTCATTATTATTTCACTTCAGTGAAATCAGATAGAAAGGGGTCTCCGGTACCATCTACAAGTCATTTTATAGGACAGCATATGAGGCAAGGGCACAAAACAACATGGTTAAAAGTGTGTGGATCCAAGGGTCAGTCTGCTTGGATTAAAATCTTACTTCTGTCAGTTACTAGCTGAATAATTTTGTGCAAGCCACTTAACCTTTTTGTGTCTCCATTTCCTCATCTGTAAAATGCAGATAATAACAGTACTGACCTCATGGGGTTGTTGCAAAAATTAAGAGTTAATTTAATGCCTTACTTCAAATGAAGCATTTGAAGCAATACTGACATAGTGTTAGCTATGATTTATAATTTTGAAACCCAGGACAGATGAGGTGACTTGCCCCAGGTCTCAATGCTTATTATTGACAGAGTTGGGACTAACACTCAGGTCTTTTGTATTTCAGGGTAGTGTGCTTTAGATTAGATAATGTGCTTTCAATAGCAGATAAAGAGGTGTTTTAGCAATTTCATTTTTCCTTCATTAGTATTTCAAAACTTACATGAAGTATCTTGAAATAGAAGTCATTCCTGACATTCTAATGGCTTTTATTGGTCAATTACACTTTGGTACTGATGGTATTTATGTCCAGCTAATAGATTCTCTCCACTGTGTACTAGCTTTTGCCCAGCATATCTGTGTACCTCTGATGATCTAGGGCCACAGACTTGGTCACAGATAAGTAGAAAGCAGGGGACCAGAATAGCATGGAACCAAAGCAGAAGGAAACAAAAAAGGGATACATTTTGGGGATCAAAGAATCAGTACGCATGAAATAAATTTCCTTGCAAGGGTAACTAGTTTTGAAAATAATTCTAAAAGAAAAATTTAAAAAATGTTTTGAGAAAGACGTTTTTGAAGGATAAGACTAATGTAAGTATATTAATTATCATGTATACGAGAAAAATAATAGTACCAAGACTTTACAGAAACACTTTCCATTGCTTTTCGAGCTTAAGAGTAAGAGGAAAACAACCAAAGAATAAGAAGAAAAAAGCAGTGTTTTATTAGTAGTTACAATTCATTACTCTAACATGATATGGGCATGATTTTAAATCAAGATAGGTACACGCTAAGTCTACAAATGCAAGGCTATGTGCTTTTGAGTTCAGCCATAATATATTAATCAAAGCTTTGAAGGTTTCATTTTTACCATTGTGAAATGAGATCAAAGAAAGGACAGAAAATGAAGCCGATGATATTAAGGTACAAAATAAGGCTGCCTATTCTACTGAAACATTCCAAAAAAGGCATAATGACTTACTGCTTTCTTCTGAATACAGAAATACCAACAACTTGATTTCCCAGAACTGCAATTACTACACAGTTAATCTACCTGACATGTATGGATCAATGCCTTTTCAAAACACACCAAAAGAAAGTAAAAAATAAACTGATGCTTATTCTCCAAAAGTCTGTTTCAAAGATGGTGGTTATAGTCCATTTCCTCAAAGTTTTTGAATTCTGTTTCTATGAAAAAAGTTCTTTACTTTTTTGTTGTAGAAATAAGGCAGACATCATAAGTAGTAAAACATGGCTTTGAAAAGGTCACCATGACACTGTAGCATCAAACACAATTTTTTGCAGTTTTGCCTTATTTAATAGGTTTTAGAAAGTTTTATATTGTACTCTGTGATAGCTAGCTCATGTAGAACTGATGAAAGGTGGTGCTTACGGTTCTTTCTAAAGAGGCTGGCCTTTAGGACTTGAATAAGAATTTAATTCTCTACTATTGGATGCAGTACTTTTTACATAAATATAACTTGGTGTAATATACAACTGACTGCATTTCACTAACTTATAATAGGTAAATAATCCTTGTGCATTATTTTAGGAATGCTTTTGTCAAGAAAGTCTTTTACTGATGGTTCCGTTGATTCTTTTTTGTCATTAGCAAAACTTAGGCTTAATATGAACTGAAAACACTCAAGCTATGAGATCTGATTCCTAAATTTTAAACAGGGGAAAAAAAATACCCAAAATACTCTTGTATCTTTCATTTTTCCATTTGTTTTTAAATTTAAGAGGGAAAACAACATACCTGATTCATTCTTCCTGAATGGCAGGGAAGGACAGCACAAAGTTCTCAAAGAAGTATCAGGAGCATTGCCAAATTAAAGATTTTAAATATTACATGCAGTCAGCAATCTAGCATCAACTACTTTTTTCTCCTTCTTACATAACCATCATTTAAAAGAACATAAACAAACATGTTTAAAAAAGATAATTTAACTGACAAGGAAACAGAGCCACGGAGACTTACAAAGACTTGCTCTAAGTTATAAAATAAAATCAATGGTAGTGAACAAATTAAAATTCATAATCCCAGGACAGTTTTTTTCCTTGAATCATAGGTAGTAGGTCCAACAGGGTATTAATATTCTACGGCAGGAAACTGTGAGCACAAGCAAATCTCAAGTTTAATAAAATGCTTTCGAAACAATCATTCCATAGAACAATATTACAATTTATGGTCATTTTTTGCTTACTAATGTGAAAATATTCTTTTGGATGCTGAAAAATAATGTACTGTTCCTAGGAGATAACCAACAACATTTACACAAATTTTTAAGAAAATTTAAATACCTGTTTCAGTTTTTCATTCTCTTCCATGAATTTTTTGGCAGCCTCATTAGTACTTTCTGCTTCTGTTTTAAACACTCCTTTGATTGACAGTTCCTTTGCCAGCTGAGTAATAAGGCTAAGCAGACGTCTCAACACTCTAAACAAAAAAAATCAGAGTAAAGTGTAACTAGACTAGTCATTAGGCAGTGAGTTTCAGATAAAGATAACTTTGTTATCACTTTATCTTTGTTAGAATACTGGCTTTTGGAATACAGGTTCAATGGTACTTATTATTTTCTTTGTGGAGGCCTTTCACCAGGAGGAACAGAAACAGAATTTCAGACACTGTGGGAAAGCCAGTGAGGTGTTTTGTTTTTGTTTTTTTTTTTGGCCAGCTCAAGATTTGCTATCTAAAGAGCATTGTGTGAAGCTGGCCAAGCCTAAAAACTGCTCATTCACACCTGTTTATGAGTAACTTCCATTGTTAGACATAGTGATTAATATCTTCAAATATTGATTCAACAGTTAGTTACTCTGCTAAGCATTAGAAATTGTTAAATATTAAGCACTGTGGTATCCACTGAGGACACAACAAGAAATGAGACAAAATCTCTGCTCTCAAGGAGTTTAAGTTCTAGTTGTTCAAGAAGGCAAGATTTAAACAGTATTTAATTACAACCATGAATAATACTAAGAAGGAAAGCATATATACATTCTATGGGAGCATATTATACACCTACCTACTTTTGGGGGTGATGGTCACAGATGGCTTCTCAGAAAGGGGCTGAGGAACAAGCATAAGTTAGCCAGATAAAGAGGGAAGAGAAAAATGTTCCGGTAGAAGGAAAAGCAGGCAAGAAGACCCTGACCCTGAAGCAGGAAGGAGCTAGGTATACAATAAGAACTCAATAAATACCTGTTGCAAGAATGAATGAATGAATGAATGAATGAGCAGTAAAGGTCAGTGTAGGTGGAATGTGGTGCACACATCAGAAAACGGTATGAGAAAAGACTCCAGAGAGACACATGAACCACATCATGCATGGCCTTACCAGATCATTCATGGCCTTACAGACCTATCAAACCTACAAGCCAAAACTAATGTTTTGTTATTTGAATACATCACCTGTGTTCTTTTATGAAGATGTTAGTATACTAAACAATATAGGAAAAAACCCTATAGTATAGGTTTTTTTGAGAAAAAATGAGAAAGGAAACCTCATGTTTTTAAACTGTGTTTTTTTTTTTACTTACAGCCAAAAAAATAATGAAAATCCAGAAATGTAAAGATTTCTTTGAGACCTAAAAAGTTTCATCTGTACATGTTCATAGGCACCAGGTCTGTTGGTTGAGCTTCTTTCAATGGCAGGAGTAGAGGAATATTTCCTTACTTCTCTCACAGCATCTATTTAAGAACAAAAGAAAACATTACTTTCGGCTTTTAAAATATACAATTATTAAAATGGGAAGCAGTTTTAGAATAACTGACCTAACTTTTAATTAATGAACTTCAGGTAGGGACTTTTTTTCTGTCTACAACACCTGGAAGGGTATCAGATGCTCTGTTAAGATACTGGTAGAAAACTTTTAATATTAACAGCATTTTTGTTTTTTTACTATTCATCTGTTTTTTAAGTACCATCACTATTCTGTTTCTTATCTCTACTAGCCTTTACTCTTTCTATCCCTAATAGGTTGACAAAAAAAATCAACCTACTGACAGTAACATATAGGTGATATCCCATTACAATCAATTCCAAGAGATTGTCTTACTTCTCTTACTGCACTAGCAATTTATTATACCTATTATTACTTTTACTACTCCTACCTTCTAGAAACCACCATCTACTTTCTGTCTCTATAGAATTGCCGATTCTGGACATTTTATATAAATGGAGTCATATACTAAATGGTCTTTTGTGTCTGGCATCCTTCAATTCGTATAATGTTTTCAAGGTTCATCCATGTTATGACATGTATCAGTACTTCATTCCTTTTTGTGGCTGAATAATACTCCATTGTACAAATATACCAAATTTGGCTTATCCATTCATCAGTTGATGGACATCTGAATTGTTTCTACTTTTTGGCTATTGTGAATAATACTGCTATAAACATTCATATGTACAAGTTTTTGTATTGATGTATGTTTTCATCTCTCTTGGGTATGTATATACCTATGAGTGGAATTGCTGCGTCATCTAGTAACTATTATGTTTAACTTTCTGAGGAACTGCCAAGCTGTTTTTCAAAGCAGCCATCTTACATTTCCACAGTGCATGACGGTTCCCATTTCTTCTCATCCTCATGAACACTTGTTCTTATCTGTTGATTGGAGCCATCCTAGTGGGTGTGCATGGTATTTCATTGTGGTTGTGTTTTGCATTTCCCTATGGGTAATGATGGTGGATATCTTTTTCATGTGCCTATTGACCATTTGTATATCATCTTTGGAGAAACATCTATTTGGATCCATTACCATGTGTAAATTGGGTTCTCTTTTTATTTGTTCCCCAAATGTCCTTTACAGATTTTCTTTTAAAACTGGGAACTACTTAATGGACATTCACTGCATGTATTTATGTCTCTTTAGTCTTTTATATAGAATACTTTTTTTTTAAAGACATTAACTAAAGTGCCAGGCCAACTATTTTATAGAAAGTTCACACATTCTGGATTTATCTGATTGTGGTGTATGCTAATATGTTCTTCTAACTTCCATATTTACAAAAAACTGGAAGTCACGTATAAAGATTTGATTGGATCAAGGTTAACACTACACTTTTGGTAAGAATCCTACATAGCTGATGCCATGTAATGCTAGCTTATCCCACACTTTTTTTTTATTTTTAATTAAGGTATGATTGATATACACTCTTATGAAGGTTTCACATGAAAAAACAATGTGGTTACTACATTTACCCATATTACCAAGTCCCTGCCCATACCCCAATGCAGTCACTGTCCATCAGTGTAGTAAGATGCCACAGATCCACTATGTCCCTTCTCTGTGATACAATGTTCTCCCTGTGATCCCCCACACCATTGTGTATTAAACATAATACCCCTCAGTCCCCTTCTCCCTCCCTCCCCACCCGCCCTCCCACATTCCTCCCCTTTGGTAACCACTAGTTCATTCTTGGAGTCTCTAACTCTGCTGCCATTTTGTTTGTTCAGTTTTGTCTCATTGTTATACTCCACAAATGACAGAAATTATTTGCCATTTGTCTTTCTCCGCCTGGCTTATTTCACTGAGCATAATGTCCTCCAGTTCCATCCATGTTGTTGCAAATGGGAGGATTTGTTACTTTCTTATGGCTGAATAGTATTCCATTGTATATATGTACCACTTCTTCTTTATCCATTCATCTACAGATGGACACGTAGGTTGCTTCCATATCTTGGCTATTGTAAAAAGTGCTGCGATGAACATAGGGATGCATGTCTTTTTGAATCTGAGAAGTTGTATTCTTTGGGTATATTCCAAGGAGTGGGATTCCGGGGTCAAATGGTATTTTTATTTTTAGTTTTTTGAGGAACCTCCATATTGCTTTCCACAATGGCTGAACTAGCTTACATTTCCACCAGCAGTGTAGGAGGGTTCCCCTTTCTCCACATCCTCGCAAACATTTGTTGTTCTTAGTCTTTTTGATGCTGGCCATCCTTACTGGTGTGAGGTGATATCTCATTGTGGTTTTAAATTGCATTTCCCTGATGATTAGTGATGTGGAGCATCTTTTCATGTGTCTGTTGGCCATCTGAATTTCCTGTTTGGAGAACCATCTCTTCACATCCTCTGCCCATTTGTTAATTGGGTTATTTGCTTTTTGGGTGCCGAGGTGCATATATAAGTTCTTTATATATTTTGGATGTCAACCCCTTGTCAGATATGTCATTTGCAAATATATTCTCCCATACAATAAGATGCCTTTTTGCTTTGTTGATGGATGTCCTTTGCTGTACAAAAACTTTTTAGTTTGATGTAGTCCCATGAGTTCATTTTTGCTTTTGCTTCCCTTTCTCGAGGAGATGGGTTCAGGAAGAAGTTGCTCATGCTTATATTCAGGAGACATTTGCCTATGTTGTCTTCTAAGAGTTTTATGGTTTCATGACTTACATTTAAGTCTTTGATCCATTTCAAGTTTACTTTTGTGTATGGGTTAAACAATAATCCAGTTTCATTCTCTTGCATGTAGCTGTCCAGTTTTGCTAAGCCCAGTTGTTGAAGAGCCTGTCATTTCCCCTTTGTATGTCCATGGCTCCTTTATCATATATTAATTGACCATATATGGTTGGGTTTATATCAGGGCTCTCTAGTCTGTTCCATTGGTCTATGGGTCTGTTCTGGTGCCAGTACCAAATTGTCTTGATTTCTGTGGCTTTGTAGTAGAGCTTGAAGTTGGGGAGTGTAATTCCCCCTGCTTTATTCTTCCTTCTCAGGATTGCTTTGGCTATTCGAGGTCTTTTGTGGTTCCATATGAATTTTAGGACAATTTTCTCTATTTCTTTGAAGAATGCTGTTGGCATTTTGATAGGGATTGCATTGAATCTATAGATTGCTTTAGCCAGGATGGCCATTTTGACAATATTAATTCTTCCTATCCATGAGCATGGGATGTGTTTCCATTTATTGGTATCTTCTTTAATTTCTCTCATGAGTGTCTTGTAGTTTTCAGAGTATAGGTCTTTCACTTCCTTGGTTAGGTTTATTCCTAGGTATTTTATTCTTTTTG